CGGTGTTCGGTGTCTTTCTTTTTTGAAATGATTCCCACTGATTGGTCAAATCATTTCGACGTTTGTACGACCCATGCGGAAAACATTGGGCTGCTTCATCAGAACGACAAGAATTGACCAATGGTCGTCACTACTTTTTGCGCAAGTGCAGCAAGCGCAGTCAATGCGAATAAACCTAATGTCGACCGACGTGGATAGACGAGCAGCAAGTAGCACGGCGTGCAAATTAATTCTGTGCAGAGTTAAAGAGACAGATTCATGGCTGCTGATTTATTCCACCGACCACACTGCGATAACATGTGACATACGGGAAAATGATAACGGTTGAAAGTCTGCGATCTGCAGCAAAATGTTTTAAACTTGTAGCATCATCTTTGGATCAGCTGTCATAAGCAGACGATACAGAGGTAAAGTTTATCTTTCAACGGTCTATTTCGTTAATTTTCATTCTTGCTTTTCCCTGGCAAGAATGTGACTTAATCACTCTTATGGAATACGATACGCACATCAATTTTCACACCGTTTTCATTCTTCAGCAATTTTTTAATCCCAATAATTAAATAAATTAATCCCAAAAATTATCGTGTATAAATTTATCTTCTATTTCTAGTGTTCTGTTTACCTTTAAAATATTTCAGTGTCTAATGGCATTTATCGGATTGTAAGGTCATGGAATTGACTGAAACTAGTGTGCAAATAAGAGATTGTTCCATAGACTTTATTCCTGTTTACATTAAACAAGAAAATGACGAACATGAAACAGATTTCAATGATATTGAAATAATCAACGCAGCTCAAAATTTCTGTGCTATTGAAATTAAAGAAAGCAAAGGATGTGCTACAATCAATAACAATGAAGATTCAAATGTAAACAGCAAAGACAATGCAGAAAACACAAATAATTTAAACAATTCAAATTCGACGTTGAATATCGCGCAACAGAGTGAAACCTGTAACATCAATGGTATTTTAAACAGTTCAGTCTATTTGCAAAACTTAGACTACGAAAACATAAATATAGAAATACAAAAACCAACGAGTCAAATAGCTGAAGTTTTTATTGATCAAAATGAACAATTACAAACAACCAATTACAATGTCTCAACAGTTACTATACCAAGTGAACTGTTAGGGCTGAATCTTAATATAAAGAAGGAGAACGAATTAGATCAAGAAACAGTTTATACCACAGAATGGTTGTGCAATGTAAATAATGAAACTGACCTTCGATTGAAAGTCTCAAAAATCAAGGACAAAATTCGAGAAGTTCCTACTAATATCGATGATACAATAACATCAGAGAATACTGGTAATGCAAAGACCAAGGAAAGTAAACCTGAAAGACCTAAGAGACAATTGAAAGTAAAATCAAATTCACTGCAAGATTACAAAGAGAAATTACGAAAAAAAGCAGAGTGCATGAGAGAAAAAAGAAAGAAATTGTACGAGCAAGAAAGTGAAGAACAGCGTCAACAGAGACTAGCAAAGGAGGCAGCAAAGAGACGAGAAATGAGAATGTATTATGAAACACCAGAACAAAGAAGAAAAAGATTAGACGCAGAGGCTGCAAGGAAAAGAGAGTATAGAATGTACAATGAAACGCCAGAAGACAGAAGAAAAAGATTAGATCGTGAAGCAGAAAGAAGAAGAATGAAAAGACTTTCGCTATATGCTAGTGAAACTCCTGAACAAAGAAGAGAGAGATTAAATAGAGAATCAGCGAAAAGAAGAGAGGCTCGACTTAATCAGTATGCTAAAGAAACACAGGAAGAAAGAAAAGAAAGATTGAAGAGAGACGCTTTGAGAGTTAGAGAAATGAGATTTACTAGATCTGCTATTGAAACAGAAGAGGAGCGCAAACAAAGGTTAGTAAAAGATGCTCTTCGAAAAAGGGAGGTAAGAATGCATGGACGTCATTCAGTGAATAATAATTTCACTGAGCTTCAAACGGTTCGCAATTTTGAAGAATTAAACAATGTGCAGATAAAGGAGAATCCTGATAATCAATTGGGAGGTCATTACTTGAGTAACTGGATGATGTGGTTCCAAAATTCATTAGTCCAACCTGTTCATGTTGGAGAACAAATCATCAAATCTCAATCAGAAAATAATGGATAAAAAATTTGTGTAATAAATTTTGAGTACTGTACATATTCTTCTTAGACATCTATATATAAAACAATATCTCAATCATTTATGATGATTTGTACATACTATTTATACAATATTTATGCTTGAAATACAGTAGCAAAATATAATATATTCTATGGTGACTACATCGACATAATGTTTGGGATGTACAACATATATATGTATAATTCTTCTACACTGTACAATTTTATTTTTAATATTTATATATTTTACAATCAAATATGATTATTTTATTAAATATTGTCAAGAATGTAAAAGCTTTGTTATATTTGTTAATATAAAAAAAAAATTCACTGAATAATGAAAATAATGAAAATATTCAATACCATTGAAATTTATGAATTTATAAAATTACAAAGTATTTGAAAGTTTTACTATTTTAAAAAAAATGTACAAAATATGATGAAATTATTAAAATGTTATTGTATCATTTAATATAAATAGAAGGAAAATTTGTTAAGGCATTAAAATTGTAAGAAATTAAGATGACACATTTGTAAGATAAAAAAAAAATATATATATATATATACTTCTTACAGTGCCTTTTTGTTTACTGTTCTACAAAAGCAATTTCTAATGTGATTCAAACAATTTATACATATGTACATATCATTTATCTATGAATGAATGAATAGTTCTGATAAAAATGTGACTGTTTCTTAAAAATATACTTACATACATTGTCATTCAACTTTTCCTACAAGTTTCTTTATATGGAGTAAAATAAAATAATACGTTATCGTACAATTTTGTTAATAATAATTCTACATTAATAATCCTACATATTTATATTTTGTATCCTTTCCTTTCTTAATTTCTTTCTCTCATTCTAAGTATTAAGATACGAGGCCATTTTTTATAATTTTCTATAATTCTTTTATTCTGTAATATTTCTTGAAAGTAATTGACTATATGTTAACCAATCATGGTTCTCCTCTCCGGTTGTATATATACGGCAGTAAATGCTAACCACGTGAGTTTCTAACCTAACTTCTAAAAATAGTATTTTCCAAATTGAAGAGTTAAAATTGAATTGATATTTTGAAGAATAAATTTTAATGATACAATAAACGTCTTAATATAGTAAAATTGATCACAAAGTATTAAGTATTTTGCATTTGCTATATAAAAACAAAAGATAAAAATAAGTAAATAAATGTCTAGCCTGACATTTCTTTATCATTCAATTTGTAGAATTAATATATATTGGGTATATAAATAAAAAATGGGTATAACAAAACAATATTTGAGATATGTACCAGCTGGAAACTTAAATATAATTGTCAGTTCTTCTTGTAATATTGTTTTTGTAACTTTACAAGAGCAAGAAGGTAGATTTATAGCAGTTGGAGCATGTGAACATGTTTTTATATGGGATTTGCGCCTTGGAGAAAAGGTAAATTGTGATTCATTTTTTATTTATTTTCTTACAATAAATATAATTATTTTAATTCCTAATAGGCTCAAGTATTATCAGGCGACAAAGTAAATGTAACATATTTAGCTGCATCTCCTAATAAGCGACATATAGCAGTTGGTTATGCAGATGGTACTATAAAAACATTTGATTTAAAAACAGGAGAAAATACTAGTGTATTTGTAGGCCATAAATCTGAGATCACAACTTTGACGTACGATAGAGAAGGACATAGACTAGCTTCAGGTTCAAAAGTAAGATAATTTAATAAAAGTGACAAAGCATAAGTGTATGAAATAATCATATTTAATTCTATTTTTTCAGGATACAGATATCATTCTTTGGGATGTTGTAGCTGAAACTGGAATATGTAGATTAACTGGGCATAAAGGTGTAATAACAAAGCTAGCATTTATGAAAGATCACAATATTATTATCAGTTGCAGTAAAGATACATTTGTCAAATTTTGGGATTTGGATACTGAACATAATTTCAGAACACTTGTTGGTCACAAAACAGAAGTAAGTGTAGTTGTAAATATATATAATAAAAATTAATTTTGTCATATTTCAAATTAACTCATTGTTTAAGGTTTGGAGTTTAGTCTTAACAAAAGATGATCAATATTTAATAACTGGTTGTAATGACAATGTGTTATATATATGGAAAATGTCTTTCACCAAAGGTGAAACTGCAGATTTCAATACTAATTTACATGACTTAAATATCATTGATGATGCTGAAATTAGTGATGTGGTATATTAATTTTAGATTTAATTAATTTATACTCGCATTTAGGGTATGTTTGTTAGATTAATGTTTAATGAAAATATTATATTTTAATAGAAACATCCTTTGAGGTGTGATAAAATTGGAAGTATATTAAGAAGTGGTCATGGAAGAGTTGTGTCTCTTGAAACTGACACCACTCATACTATTATTGGATGTTATGGTTTGGACAATACTGTAGAATTATTTCAAGTATTATCTGACGATAAAATAAAAGATAATGTTCTTAAACGATTACGAAAAGAAAAGAAAAAAGTAAAAAAGTATGCAAAAATATTTTTCTAGTATGTTTAGGAACAAGACATTTAATAAATATAAATAATTTATTTATTTATTTATTTTTTAAATAGAAGCGGAGAAACTACGGAAACAAATTTCTCGGGAACACCAACAATAAAAGACGAAATTATTCGTCTACCTTTTATTAAAATATCTGCTAAACTTAAAGGATTATGTTTAGTTATGGGTAAAAGTGGCGAACTTAGAGTAAGTTAATATGAATATCTTACTCTTCTTTTAATTAATCTAGTCAATTAATTTTTATGTGTCATTATTATAGATATGCACAGGATTAAATAACAATTCCATTGAATTATATTCTTTATTTACACAAGAAAAAGATGCCGAAGTAAAACATTTAAGATCAATAACAAACCATGGTCATCGCTCAGAAGTTCGTGCAGTTTGTTTTAGTTCTGACAATTTAGCTTTTGCAACAGCGAGTGGTGATTCGGTGAAATTGTGGAATAGGTATTAAAATAAAATTGATGTTAACTTGCGAAATAAGTTAGCGATTTCACTAAAGTTTCTATTATTCTAGACCAACTTTGGCATGCTTACGCACTGTACAATGTGGTTATGCTTTGACAGTAACATTTGTACCAGGAGATAGACATTTGATTGTAGGTTTAAAAGATGGTAAAATGTTAATCATTGATATTGCTTCAGGTGATATTTTAGAGGAAATTCCTGCACATTCTAAAGAACTTTGGAGCGTTACATTATTTCCTGATAAAGTAATTTAATATTCTTTGTTATATACATGATGAATGATTTCATAATGGTATATGATTTCATAATTATTTTTATAGAAAGGAGTAGCTAGTGGCGGCGGAGATCACACAGTAAAGTTTTGGAATTTTGAACTCATTCAAGATCCTGATAGAGAAATAAAAGCGAAAGTTTTATCTGTTTTACACTCTAAAACTTTAAAACTAGAAGACAGTGTATTATGTGTAAAAATAAGTCCTAATAATAGATTTGTTGCAGTTGCATTACTTGACTCTACTGTAAAAATCTTTTTCCTTGATACATTTAAGGTAATTACATTAAAAATAAAAAAAAAAACGCGCTATTATCTGTGCTGTTAAACAATATATGATATCCCTAAAAATTTTATAATGTTATTTTAGTTTTTCGTTTCTCTGTACGGGCATAAATTACCAGTTTTGTGTATGGATATATCGAGTGATTCAACACTTATTGCTACTGGTTCTGCTGATCGAAATATAAAAATTTGGGGTTTAGATTTTGGAGATTGTCACAAATCACTATTTGCTCATGATGACTCTGTATCAGGACTTTCATTCGTACCTAATACACATTATATTTTTACTTGTGGAAAAGATGGAAAAGTAAAACAATGGGACGCTGATATTTTCCAAAAAATTGTGACGTTACAGGTAATAGATATCTTTAAAAATTATTTTGAAATTGTAAACTAACAGTTATAATGTTTAAAATCTCTTTATTCAGGGACATGCAGGTGAAGCATGGAGTTGTGCTATTTCACCAAATGGAGTTTATGTTATTTCTTGTGGATCTGATAGAGTAGTTAGGTTGTATGAACGAACTTCAGAACCTTTAGTTCTTCAAGATGAAGAAGAAGAAGAAAGAGAACATCAAGAAAATGAATTAGCTACTGGAGAGAGTACTGCTGTTCCAGGACAAAAGCAACAATCGTTACCTTCAAGAAAAACAGTATCCAGTGAAAAAGGGGTAAAAATAAATTAATTAATTAAATAGAAAGAAATAAACATAAAAATTGATTTATTTAAGTCATCATGTATGATTTAATTTATATAATTTTCAGGCTGAATTGATATTAGAATGTTTAGATGTATCCAAAGAATATAATGAGCAATTATCAAAAGCAACAACAGGTAAAACACCTCCTATTCCTTTGCAAATGCAAGCTTATAATTGTACAAATACAGAAGATTATTTATTAGAAACGGTTAAACGAATTAGAGGAAGGTAAGAAATGTATATATGTTATATGCGCAAAAATTTTGCTCGACTATAACAAAAATTAAATACACGTGATGAAATTATTTTACAGCGATTTAGAAGAAACATTGTTACTGTTACCATATTCAGCTGCTTGTGAAATTCTGAAGATGCTTCCTAAATTATTGCAATCAGATTATCATACGGAATTAATTGCAAAACTAGCATTATGTTTAGTACAAGCTCACCATGGTCCAATTACAGCTACACAAGAACTTCTACCTATTTTAGAAACTGTAAAAACACTCGCTATTCAACAAATTTCTAAGCTAAAGGTAAGAATAATTTTATTATAACAAATTTTATTTAAGTAAATATTGAAAGAATGTAAATTCAAAGTTAATTTCTTTAGGATATAATTGGATTTAACTTACACGGGATGATGTATGTGCAACGAGTTATCGAAGAGAAGGAGGGAATACAACTTTTCAGAGATGCAACCCAAAGTAGTAAGCGTAGAAATAAAGTTAAAAAGAATAAAGAAAAAGCATTAAAAAGAGCAATTATGGCTTTATGAAATTTTTTACTTAATGATTTGTAAATAAACATTTTGGAAAGAAATAATATAGTGTATAATGAAATAATAAAAAGTTTATTAATATACAACATGTTTGATGTTATTATTCAAATAACTTTTGATTCTTTCCTTCCTTACAATCTTTGGTGGAATTTTAACATTTTTTTAAATATATCTATATAATTTCTCATTTTGATAATTTTAACGATTCGTATATTTTATTACATTTAATTTGCACGCACAAGTCTGTCATAAACGATGATATATGAGTTTCTTTATCCTTTTGTTTACCACTTTCAAATACAATGACTAAAGTCATTCTAGGATCAGTATTATACATGGCATATATACATATTTCCTAAAAGAAGACCAATTTGTATTGAGATGTAGAACTTAACAAAAATAGATCTATTAACATACTTTTACATTTTTACAATATATAATTTTATCCATAGCAGAAAGTTCCGTATGTCGTTCTTTAATTCGTTTCTGTATATTATCTAAGTGAATTGATGGCTTTTGTATAAATACCTAAATAAATAAAAGGTAATATTTTTCTTAAAAAGAATTTAGTTATTTAGTTATGATTCATTTTTTCGTATCAACCATTCATAATAAACTTACACTAGGACAGCAAAGAACCACAGGAAATTGTTCAGAAGTATTTGGTTCTCTACGTGGATGTCTGTAACCTGAACCTGCATCTTCAACACCCCTAGAGTCGAATATTATTAAGACTGCTAGGACATCGTGTTTCCGTTGGAAGCTTTGTATTCTAAAATAAAAATGTATCAATACCCATTCAATGGCTTAGTAATTAAAGTAATTAAAAATATGTTACTTGTGGTAGTAATCCACATTTTGTTTGCTCATGATACTTCTCATTTCTCCTGGACTAGCCTGCTGACTTAAAGTAGTATGAAAATATAAAGAGCATTTAGCCAATATGCTACTACGTAGTTTCACTAACCATTGATACAATGCTGGTTGTTGATTTGCTTTTAAAAATGAAGCACTGAAACCCAGTTTCCATGACTAAAAGTATGCCGATTAATTAAAAAACGTTTAGCTTTTACCTCCTATATTCTATCTGCACTTTTTACCTCTTTATTTTGTAAAGTTCTCTCCCAAGCTGACATTCGTGTTTGTGCACCATAAAGAGCCATTAACGTTGACAAGAATCTCCAATGTTGAAGTTCAACTTGTGCCTTTGTTAATTGCACTAATATTTCGCACTCTAAACTAATCAAAGCATATTTTAATTTCAAGAAGAATGTATTGCCTATAGTATCTGACTTTCAATATTTAACATTTTATTTTTATTTATACCTACGTTAAACTTGTTTTAATAGCAGTTAACGCAAGATGCGAACAAGACAAAGAATGAATTTCTACTATTCCTTCAATGCATTGTAATAGCTCCTGATATTTCATAGTCTTACTATTAATACTCATATTGTACATTTTTTCATAACTATAACAGAATAATATCATATGAGACCTCTAATAACAAGTTAAAGTAACAACATACTAACAAATCTATCAGTTGTATTTTTGCAGTAATATATTGACACAGTTGATTAGAAACCTCGGCAACTGTTGCACCAATTGAATTAGTTCCTCTGGTCATTTCCTCTACCCTTTTAAGATCAGACTTCAAAGATTCATATACTGTTCTTAATGAATTCTAAAATAAAAAAAATATGTTACCATTAAATAAATGTCACTGTTAATTTTTTTATACGGTCAATCAAGTTAAATATCAACATATTTACATCTTTTCTCAAAAATCCTTTATTCTTAGTATGAAGAAAACCTAGATCTGCATAAGAATGTTCTGCCACTGCTATTTGTGGTAAATGCATAAGTAACATTCCCCATGGGCCCATTTGTGTTTGACGACATGATCCACGTTCCTTTTCCTAAAATGAATCATTAAAAACATATTTTCAAATTATCGAAAAGTCGATAATTAATATTACTAAGAAATAATCGATAATTAATTTTACTAAGAAATAAATTAAAAAATTTCAAGTTTATATATTTAAAAATCTGACATATTTATGAATTTTTATCTGACATATTATTGTAATTTTTATATATTTATACATTTCTCATCGTACAGAATATATTCTAGATTAATGTATACTATTAGAAAAAATGCTAATACTAAATTTTACATGTATTATGCATATGTATTGTAATTTTATATTCAATTGCATTCAGGTCAGTCGAACAAATTTTTATTTCATGCTACTAATTAATTTGTATGTATTTTATACGAATTACTTACAACTAACTCTTTAGCTTTGTCAGTACATAATTGAGCAACGTGAGTAAAAAACATATTAAGAAATTCTTCTTCGCGATCCATTTTTTACCTATTTCTATTCTGATCGCGACAAAATTGTTTACGTTTATTTTCATTACTCATGTTTCTAAAGATTATAAAATCCTAAAATAATGTACATCATGCTGGTGACCATTCCGATAATCCTAATTTATGATTGTAGTAGCCTCTAAATTCTATAGAGATAACCTAAATCCGCGCCGAAAACTGATTGTCTAAAGTATATGATCTTAGGAAAAAAGGATAATATGTACTATTCTCAACAAAACGTTAAGTTTATATTCATGTGAACAGATTTCGTAATATAACTATTCTTATCAAAAGTATTCATATTTCATAACTGAATATTTCACTTTTTGTTGAACGATACTTATTAAATTCATATTTCTTAAATGTAAATAATTTTGATTATCAAATTCTAGAATTGTAAATTTTCTAGCATTAGAAAAATTTACTAAACTTTCACTAGATTTTACATGGGAGCATTTTCAAGTATCGAAGTGAAAACGATTTTTCCATTTTTCACTTCACACGACGTGAAAAGGTTAATTTTTTAATCGTCTAGGCTTCTTTCCGTAAAACAATGAAAAACGCATCAAAATCCGCTCAGTAATTCTCATGCTTCAGATAAGCTTGTTTAGATAAATATCTATTGAGAACTTTATTCTGAACTATGTATATAGAGATTTCATGAAGATAAATAATTTAAAAATTACAACTCTAAATCTTTCAAAAATTCAGCATATTTAAATACTGATCTGTATGAAATATACGAGATAAATGATACAGCCGTGTTAAATATTTTTATGTGATAAATATAATTTGTTTTTTGAAGCAATATAAAATATCCGTCACGACTATCGTGTGTATTATACAGTAGACAAGTATGTAATCGTGAAACATTATAGATAGATAGTATACGTTTCCGTATACTTGACGTCGGAGTACGTATGTTCCATGCATTGATAACGTGTACAACGTCAAAGAAAATTAAAGCCCTCAGTATTATTATAATAAATTAGGAACGATGGGCTTTATTCAATCTCGAGTAATAAGCGAGTATTTTTTCTACACATGCCTAATGAGCTATTTTCTTTTATCCACGGTATTAGGTGAAAGTGAACCTATATATGATGGTAGATTTCAAATGATAATGACGTCTATGGTAATTATATGTAATTCAATTTATCTGTATTAAGCATAATACTAACTTATTATGTATTAACATTTATAATAAAATGCTAGAAACCTGAGAACGCAATGCCATCACAGGCCAAGGATAACCTTGGTTTTTTACATGCATTTATAGCTTCTTTATCTGTTATTGTTGTTTCTGAATTGGGAGACAAAACTTTCTTTATCGCTGCTATCATGGCAATGAAACATCCAAGATTGACAGTTTTCATAGGAGCGATTAGTGCTTTAGCACTGATGACTCTTCTATCAGGTATTACCATTTTTTATTAAACTGTATGGCTCTATAAGTGAATATCTCTTGAACGAAACTGTATTGCATGTGAAAAGATATAAAAGTAAAAAGATGAAATGTAAATAAGACACCAAAACTAAAATGAACTCAGCGTACTGTATACTATGAACTAAAATGAACCTGAGAGTATTGTACGTATTATAATTTATTGAGAGATATTTGTTTATTAACAGCTTACATCGTATTTATTTTTATGTAAAGAAAATTAAAGGAGAAAGAGTTACAATGTTTGTATTTCTCTTTAATTTTCAGTCATTTTTGGATATGCTGCAACCATAATTCCTAGTGTTTATACATACTATATTTCTACTGCACTTTTTGCTTTATTTGGTTTGAAAATGCTAAGGGATGGCTATAAGATGTCTGCAACTGAAGGACAAGAAGAATTAGAGGAAGTGCAATCTGATTTAAGGAAACGAGAGGATGAGGTATCAGTATTGAAAATATAAATTTGCTGTGAGCAATTTTCATTAGATTTTATATAAGTGTTTTGAAACTATTCCTTTAACATTTTTGCAGGAATTAAATAATTTTTAAATGTCATCACTTTCAGTATGAAAAAGAAACTGGAAGCACTTTAGTACAAGATCCAGAAACTGGTGTTGTACGGAAAGCAACAAAAATTAGTGCACTGATGCTCCTCTCTAGGATATTCCTTCAAGCATTTACATTAACATTTCTTGCAGAATGGGGTGATCGCTCACAACTTACCACTATTATACTTGCAGCAAGAGAAGTAAATGACATATATATTTAGCATTCGTATAGCATATTAATTTATTGTTATAGAATTATATATAAGGCAGTGTTAAACTTGTAAAAAACTTGTAAAAAACAGTAAAAAAAAATTATTATTTTTAGGATGTTTATGGAGTTGTAATAGGAGGAATATTAGGACATTCATTTTGTACAGGATTGGCAGTATTAGGGGGGAGAATGATAGCTCAGAAAATTTCAGTACGAACAGGTAAAATATACTCTTTTATATTAAAAAATAGATAACACTACTAAAAAAAATTTTAAATTATATATAATACATATATAGATTATGTAGATTATATGTGTATTAGTATCATTAAATTTTAATGATAATAATGTAACTGAAAAGACATCAAATTATCTTTTTTTATTATTTGTAGTGACCATAATTGGTGGAATGGTATTTCTGCTATTTGCCTTAACAGCACTTTTTATAAAACCTACAGATAACCTATAAAAACAATGTACAGTATTCATATATATATACATACTTATATATAATAAAATATATTTTGTTATAAGACAATGTACATATTTTTCATATATTGTTATAAAATAGTAAAAATCATAATGTACACTAAATTTTGTCTAAAGAGTACTTATGTATATAATATGTACATTATGTTTGAAATTATATTGATATAAATAACTACTTCATGTGTGAATAAAATTATCATCAGATTAAAGGATACTACATATTAGATATTAAACAATATATAGTGTAAAAATAATAAGTGGTATTATTATAAGTTATTTTATTGAATATTTTAAATTAGAATATATACAATCTACTTACACTACATAAATTCTTCAAGAAATTTTTAAAGATATATTAAATTACTATTATTATTATTCGTTACTTCACTAATACTACGTTATTTTATTATGAAAAATTAACATATTAAATCTATATTCATATACCGGAATTATTAATATGGAGAGACATGCTGTTTATATTTTTTAATGGTATGATTAAGTTTTAATCAATTAAACAACAGAGACATGTAATACTTGTTTATAAATATAGAATTAACGATATATATAATATATATATATATATATATTAATGAGTGAATTTATTTTAAAAGAAGTAACAGAATATAAATCGGTTGCGTAAGATCAGTCTAAAGAGAGCATAATACTAGTATCTTATAGCTTAATTACCGTTTTCAAATATCGATGAATACGAATAATATAACATGTTCGCAATTACTTTGAGTTTTTAACACAAACTTACGGTAATTAGCATTATAACACACGTAGTTACTGAGAAACTCAAGACAAATACTACAGTTAATGTTCCACTGAACAACGTAATACGTACATTAGGTACAAGATTATTCTTCATGATCTATGTACTATTTACTTCATATGTATTGTATGTATTATTGGTTCTTAATCCAGTTATTTAAGCACTGCAATCCTGTAAAATATAATTTATCTGTTCATATAGACAATAAATATATAAATATACATCATTTTTTTATAGAAAATTAATTCAAGGATGTAATTTAATTCATAACTTCATAATCTAAATAAAAAAAAAACATTTTAAAATGTCATTAAAATCAATTCCTTCATTATGAAATGTAATTTTATATTCAGAAATTTTTTTAAAAAACGCACTAAAATGAAATTAAGAATTTTTTTAGAATTCATCAATATCATTGCATGTTTAAATTATTAAAATACAAATCTTTATCTTTACTTCTAACAACATGCTTAATATGTTTTTTTTTAATATACCACAAACCATAAAAGAATACAAGATTATATTTTAAACTAAAGAATTTTTTTTTATATTTTTCTCAAGTTTCAAAACCACTTCTTTTAAATATTCTTTTAAACATTCTACTTACTTAATAAATATTAATAGAAATTAATTCATGTTGGACTTGGCTGGCTAGTAGTTCTACACTGTGCTTCTGATGCTCGAAGTTTCTCGAGCCTATGCAATGGATCCATTAGGCTTTTTTCTTCAGAATTAGCAGATTCGGCTATTTCTGTAGCATATCATTTATGTAAAAACAATAATAAACTTACATTAATAATATTTTGTATTATATATTTACCTGTTGAGTATTGATTATTAGTTTGCGTTATAAGATTTTGATTTTTTCTTGCTTGATCAATATCTCTTAATCCTTGTTCTATAAAGTCTTGAAAGAATTGATGAGATTTTACTAAGAAAGGTTGTACATCCGCTTCAGGATATTGAAGTTTAAAATCATAAAGTTGTGTTAAACCCTGTACGAAATAAATATATTCATGAAAGTATCGAAACATTAGCTAGTATGTAATGGATATATATTAACTAGTTATTTCCATTAAATAATAAAATATATTGTTTATTGACATATATACTTCTTTTGTATGTTCTTTTGATCCAATTTTCTTAAATATTTCGGACAACTGTTGATGAGTAAATTTTGATAAATGTTCTTGAGTTTTTCCAGCGCTGCTGGACTTCAAAGACGTTTTGGGGTTACTATTCATTTCATCTGGCTTAAATGTCTATTAAAAATTATTATAAGAAATGAAGAATTTATATATTTTACAATATTCAATATCTCATAATATTCAATCTACTAACCGCAATTAGCCTGATGAGATAACTTTGTAATTCTGATTCATTTGTATTGTTTATTCGTGTTAAATGACTGAGTATTGTACTGCCTTTTACGCGGGTCATACTATGAAGAATTGTCTTAATTGTACGTAATGGAGTATCAGACTTTCGTTTCTTCCACCATACACTTGGATAATCCTGTAAAAAATATATATAATAAAATATCTTCACAGATTACTATAAATGACATTCACAAAAAATGTTCGCAACAAAAAACGTCTACCTTGAGGAATCGATGTACTTCTAAAAGAATAGTGTCATAATCTAAATCTGCGGCCCAATTAGGAATCGTTTTCACTATTTTCCATAAACACTTCATTACTAATTCTTCATATTTGGATGGAGCAGTAGATTCAGCACATCCATGGAGTAATTTTATTAAAACACTACATGGAAATATTAAAGGAATTAATGAATTAACTCCGTTTAATGTTTTAACGGGAATATTTCAATGAAAATAAGATTTTTATGATTATTACCATATAATAGTAGTATGATTTGAATTGTCTATTATTTTACAAACAATGTTGTTAATAACGCGATAGTATGCATCTGCCTGCTGCAAATGATTTAGTTTGTTTTCTGCTAGCAAGCTGATCATTTGATCCACGAGTTCTTTTAAATGAATCAACGGAACATTTTTTCCAAGAATTCCAGTATCGTAAAACTGTAGATAATTACACAATACATACAATTTACTTACTATTTTATATATATTATATAATTCGTCCTTACCGCTAGTAAAACCATAAATGTATTTCTAAAACCTTTAGATATATCTGCACCTCCTTGTTGTAAAGGATAAGTTTGTAAAAGTTTTAATTGCATATTTATCGAACCAATAAATTTATCTTCCTTAGATTGTAAACTGAGAATCTGATGAGATTTTATCAGCTACAAGATAATAAAAAATTATATGTATGAAATTTATAAATATAATTTAATATATAAGTATATATATTTTACGAACATTATCTATGCTGTTCATCGACTGTATTGCAACAGCCAAGTCCAAACTAGACATTGCAAGAATTTTACGTTCAAGACTATCTTCTTTGCTAGTATTAGCAGCACTTAATTGTTGCTGCGTCATTGTAGCAGATTTCGATACTAGTAATTTTGGAGGAGACATAGGAATTACTCTAAAAAAAAATATTAATATTAAAATTTAGTATTTAAAATAACTTATTTTAATAGTTTGTATCTTAGATTTAATCCTTACTCCATAAATGTTTTTACAACTTTTTACAAAATATATATTTACTTACTTGCTGTAAACTATAGATGCAGATCGTAAGCTGGGATCATTCGTGTACCATATCTAAACAAATTGACAAGTGTCCTACTTTATATGATTAAAGTACTTATCTTTTAACTTTTTTTTTTTAGAAAACGAATTAAAAGTCCGTTACCTGTTATCATTTGGAAAAAACTTACATTTTTTTAAATTTGCTCGGACACGAAAGACCCCGATTTACGGAGTAAGGGTTAATAAAAAAATTATTAATTATGTCTTCTATTACTGTTAATTAGAAAATATGCACTTATAGATGATTATTCTAATAAAAAATGATAATAATTACTTACGGTACTTCATGTATATTCGTATTGGGATTTTCATTTAGATCTGTTAAATCAATTTCCACAAGAACTGGATTGCTATACTTCACAGGTGCATTTAATTCGATTCTTTGTAAAAAGTCCATATCAAGTCCAAACGGACCCGAAACTTTTGGTTGTGCCGATGTTGGAGAATTTCTAAAAATTTATTATACGTTCATGATATTCGTTATACATAATTTTAATCTAATATTACTCTTAGATCATCTCACCACCTGACAACATTGAACCAATTTCAAACTACAAAATTTGAAATATATCATTTTTTATATAAAATCGATGATTATTACTCCTACGAAATAACAAATGTTCAAAAAGACAAAAACAAATGTGTATATGTATTAATGACATTAAATAAATTTATACCACTACATTAAAACTCGAATAACTAATTAAACATGCGCTTGCTTATTGTTTCCCATGTACCCGCCACCTCAACATATACAACATATACAGTATGAAAACAAATCACAAGAAACACAAACGTTTTAATATCATCTTCATGATAATTTGAAGGCGAAATATTTATTTCTTGTGGAGTGTTTGAAAGAGGTTCATTAATTTCATTAGAATCTGTCGTTACATTTGTAGCCTCTATTACATGTGTCCTGAAAATATTAAAAGCAAATTCGTTCAAATAAAAATAACTAAAAATAAAGACATAATAAAATATAGTTACGAAAGATATATAGTATTAAAAATGTTTTGTTTAAGATTATTAGCAATAGCATTGAAAGCAATAGCATTAAATATATATGATAATCAATATCATGGCTTAAAAAATTATAACATATAAAATATATACTCATATATATAAATATGTAACAATATATAAAAACATTTTGACACTTACAGTTCATTTGTTTGAGATGATACAGGTGGCTGTGGTTCAGGTGTTTCATCATTTTCTTCTTCATATTCTTCATTAGAAGTTTTAATGTCTTCATTAGAAGAAATAGGTGTTGCATTTGAAGGTACAGAAAGTCTATTGGTAGAAGCTGATTTTGTTGGATAATTTTTAGCAGCTCTTTTGATGCGTTCATCCAGTAATGATTGATCTTTTTCAGATATCTAATAATCAATAAATTAGTTTGTACAAACATTATAATCATCTAATAATAAATACATATAAATTATAAAATTATTACCTGACCAATAAGTTTATATATTCGTTCTCCTTGAAGAAAGTATGCCTGAACAATACAATTTAAAGCGGCATTTCGAACAGAATTATCACGATCTGCTATTTGTTTAGCAATTTCTTTTAATGCTATAGATGTAGATGGTTGACAAACGGACAATCCATAATTTTCAATGAGAGAACCAAGTTGGTCTAAGCACTCTAAAAACAAATTAAATTGTTCAACTTTTGTTAATTACAATTTCTATACTTTTAAATTACGTTATTTACCTGTTCTCTGTCGAGCATTTTTAGACTTTAAGCCTTCCATTACATAAGAAAATAATTTGCTCACTGGATATACCAATGCTATTTGTTTAAATAACGCACGAACTCCATTACGCACTGCATCTTTTGGATCACCAATCTAAACAAATATATATAATATATATAAGAAGTAACATATATATTAAAACAAATTAGAGCAATATTATAATATTAAGTATAAAAATATTTACTTTAATAATGAGATATGGAATAAACGATGCAGCTTCATTTTCCAACATATGATACTGGTTTTCTATCAACAAGTTGAATACCATTCGCAAATACTCTAAACCTTTTAATAATACTGAAGGATTAGTGTCAAAAAATCTTAGTGTCAACCATTTCAGAATTAAGTCTAAATTCGATACCAATGCTTTGCTATTGTCAGGCAAATCCTAAAATTTATGAAAATATTAAAAAAGAATATTATTACAATAGAATATTAATATTTAGAAAAATAAGTAAATAAAAGATTTAACATATTAAAATACTTACCTCAATTAATGCTTCAATTGCTTTAAGGTGATATCGAAAATCTGAATGAAACATATTTGCTAATAAAGTTTTATTTACGTTTGCAGCGGACATAAGTTCTTTTAAAAGTTCAACAAATTCTTCTCTTGGAGTCGTAAAATTCCATTTCAGAACTTTTAACTTCTGTTCATCGATAACTCTTTGATGCTTCAAATTATTGGTAGCCAACAAAGGACTTGTATCTACATCATCGTCTTTTTTACGAGCACTACCAGGTTTGGATGTTGGTTGTTTTTGATTAGGCTTTACTACTGCTTTAGCGGCTTTTAAAGCTCCTGCACTTTTAACAACTTTCTGATTATTTTCCTTCGGTGCTTGTTTCTTCGGTAAAGGTTTCATAGGTAAATTCGGTCGAGACTTATCTAACGCAGCAAGTACTACTGTTCGTGATCCTGGTTTCAATTTCTCTGTATTTCTAGCCATTACTTCGTAAGAAAGATGAATCATAAATCCTAAAACTGCTTCTTGAGCATTTTTCCGCACATCGGAATTGCGATCTTCTAAATTATTGTACAAATACGGAAGACATACAAGAAGTTCTTCTTTCGGTATTTGTTTTATAGGAATCAATGGTAATTTTTGTGCTAACCAACTCCAAACCTCGGCTCTAAGTATTGGCGATCCAGATTTTAATGCGTCTCCGATCATTTCACCATCAAAAAATTCTTTATACCCACATTGATCTCCCCATGTATTTATGCAAGAAATAGCTGCAGTTCTTATCCAATTTTTGTTGTCACCCAAGCATTGTATAAAGCCAGGAAAAAGAACTCGTATATGCTGTTTTGCTGGAGGACCCATTGCAACAGCTAAAGTTTGACATATGCCTAAGGTTGACTGAGCTATTTTGCTATTACTATCAATTAATCGTAGGGCCAAACCTTGCGGTAAATCACCAATAGAACCTTTTATAAATTTTGCCTCAGATATAATGGCATTTACTTTTTGTAAACCTTCATTTCGTACCTAATTTAAACAAAAATTGTTTTACATTATCATTACATTATCAAATAATTGCATATTAAAATATAATACTAACCTTCCAGTTTTTATCAGATAACTCATTAAGAAGACCTTCTGTAATTTGATTATTAATATCAACACGAGGAATAAGATTGTTAATATCAGTTTCGCTGTTACTGATAGATTTTTTATCTATTTCTACATCTTCATCATCACTTATTTTCTCCTTCTTGTTCTTTATTCCTCGAATAGGAACGGGCGGTGATTCACCATTGTGCTGTAATATGATAACTTACATTAACACAGTATTGTCATCGTTACAAATATGAAGTTCGTAAGATATCAAAAATATGTATTTTGAAACTATAATTTATTATAACAGATTACCTTTTCACATTCTTGTTCAATTTGTTGGCGTAAAGTTGGTTTTTCATTTTCGAAAAACATAAGTAGTGGTTTACCCATGAATAAATATAATGTACCTAATAATACAATAGCCGAAGTACGAACACCAGGATTTGTTGCAGTAACTGCCTTTTTTATATTTTCCATTAAGGACTTTACATTGATGCTAAAATATAATTATTACAAGTTACATGCACATTATTTAAAATAAAATATATTAAATAAATTGTTACTTACACACAACCAAATTCTATGAGACTCCTACATAATAAAGCTAACGTTTCTTGCTGAACTTTAGGATTTTTTTGATTAAAAGCAAATGCCATTATTTCCTGTGCCACATACTCTAAACTTGTTGCTTCTGCTATTGTTAAAAGAGTTTCACCGGCAACTGCACTATTTTTTGTGTCTCCTAATTTTTCAGTTATATCCATGATGCAATATTCACAAACAGTACTGTAAGGAAATATAAGCATACGTGCATGACTTAAAACTTTAATATAAAATTAAATATGAATTATCTTACGTTGAAAACGGAAAATTTTCTGCCAGAAACTTTACTATTTCTAATCGCAATTTCAGAACTTGGAAATTTGTGTCCTTAAAACCTGGTTTCTTTGCCAAGGTACGTATAATTACTTGTATAGGTATTTCTGTTGGATCTATTTGTTTAACAAACTAAAACAATACATTGTTTGTTAATTAACATTTAGTGTAATATTATTACACTTCATTTATGATTAAAAATAGGTTACATAAAAGTTTCAATTACCTCTGAAAGTTGCTCAACTGCAGCTAATCGAGTCTTCCAATTACTATCGACAAGACTATTAAGAATATCATTTGGTAACATTTGAATAGCCATTTCTTCTATTTCTTCAATACTATAATTTTTCTCTGCTTGAATTTTGGTGCTAGTTGACTTTTTGGAACCAGCTGTAATAAATAAGAATTATTAAGAGTAAATTAGATTAGATTAAATTATAATAATAATTAAATTATTATAATAATAAACTTTGGGAATTATATATGCTTACCCAAATTAGTCAAAGATGAAGCAGATGATTTCTTAGATGGAAGCTTCTTAGCTGTACTAGTATTAGGTCTTTTTGTAGCTTTTGGCTCTGGCTCTTTACCTTTTGCTGTTGATTCAATTTTACTTGGAGCAGTATTTGGTCTTTCTACAATCACTTTTGGTGTACTAGGAACTTTAACATGAATTGCGGCTTTTTCTGCACATTCTTTTATCTAACAAAAGAAAATAAAAAATAGAATTTATGCATGTAAGAAACTTATTTTCTTATAAAATTGATCATACTTTAGTCATTTTCAAATTATCTATATCTGTAAGGAATGGCATCATAGATTTTTCACCAATTAATTTCATAGCTGTGCCAAGAGCTTCTGCAGAACTATCCCGAACAGTTGGATCTAAAATAAATGAATTTAACAATAATAATATACACAAATATCAAAATAATGTATTTCAAAACATACCTGATTCATTCAAAGTTTTTAAAAGTACACTAGTATAAGCCTTTAATAATTTTTTATTTAAAACTTGTGGTGGTGTACGAGAAAAGCATCTTGCTAAATAAGTGGCCGTTTCTGCTTTTACTGCAGGATTTTTGTTCTCTAATGCAGCGAGTGTATCGTCTAATATCAGATCAATAGAAACCTAATGTATACATAAAATATTATTTTTAATAATCATAATCCATATCTTAATCTACATTTTACTTGTACTCACACTAAGAAAAATAGCATCTGCAGCTTCCCTAAGTGCTTGAACAACGTTTTGCTTTTTTTCACGAAACTTTTCCAAAATTGATGACAAACACGCAGTTGCATAAGGTTGAAATCGTTTTTTTAGACCAATTGCTAACCCTGCCAAACATTTTCCAGCCAATGCAACCACTAGTACGTTAATATCTTTGGATATAATCTGTTTATAACATTTAAAAAATAAATGAAGTAGGAATAAAGTAACATAATAGTAATGTAGATCTCATACCTTTTTCAAAGCTCTTACTACATCTCCATAATCACCATTTTCCAATTTAGGATTTTTTACCAAAGAATCTAATGCTTCTAAGGCTTCTTTTCGTTCTTGCCACTTTTTAGCTTCAATCTTCTCATAAAAATCTTTTGGAAGTTTAGAAAGTATATCGATAGGTTCCAACAATTCATAAGGATCAACATCAGGAGCAGAAACACTATCAGCATCATCTTTGCCTTCTTGAATATAATACAAAAAGTGGAACAGTAGAAAATTATAATGTACAATTTTTTTCGTTAAAAAGTAGAACAGTAAAAAATTATAATGTACAATTTCAAAACTATTTACCTTCACCGATATCACTTGTAGAATCTGTAATACATATCGCTTTTGTTTTTTGCGATTTCAAAAATCGTGTAGGAACAACTTTTTCTTCTTTTAGATTGTTAAACTCTGCTTCGAATTCCGTAATTTGTACTGGTTTTAATGTATTCAATTGTTGTTTTAAAGGAGCACCAATCCATCTAAATACGGCAAAAGAAAAAGAAAAATAATAGAATTTTTATTAAAACGTGCTATACAGTGTTATAATATTTGTACAAATAGAATTAAAATAGTACCTATAAATTTCAACAACCATGAATTTGCCTTCTTCTCTGACAGTTTTGTCTCTATCTTCAAGAAAACCAGGAATCTTTTTTATTAAAGATTTTATATTAATTACTTTTGGTCCAAATTGTCTATAAGATTAAAAATGAATAATTACATATTAATGTTTAACATATATTATGGTTAGTATTAATTAATTAATATATATTAAGGATAGTACAATTAATACAATTAATAATAAAAATAATAAGTAATTACCTTAAAGCCAATGTCAAGGTAGAAATGCATGCAGCAACAATTTTTGGATTTTTTGCTTCAGTTCCTTTCAATAATTCTTCTTGAACAGCTTCATGTTTTTCAATTTCAATATACATTAGTGTTATTTGTACTGCTAGCTCCTTTGTTTTAGCTTTAGGTGCAGCAATGCATTTAGTAACAATTCCATTCATAACTTCACCAACAGTTCTAAAAAATTACAAGTATATAATTTTGTTGGATATTTAATTATGTACATAATCAGCATAAAATTAATAGTAAATTTTTTCAACGACTAATACATTTATTTAGATACTCACTTCCCTGCTACTGCAGCATTTTCAATGAAAGCTAATGCTGCTTCCAATCCTTTTTCTTGAGCAACTGCATTGCTGTCTACCACAAACTTTTTAATAAATCCCAAAAACTTGTTCCATTCTGGAGACTTTTCATCATCAATGCATTGAAATGTATTTACGCATTCTTTATAACCATGCAAACGAGCTCTCCATAACTAAATGGTATAAAATGAATAAAAATATTATTTAAAAAATCATATTTGTTACATATTAAAAATTATAATAAGAAAGGAGCATACCTTATGTACACATCTTTCTTCTAGTGGTAATTTCACATACTCTGTATCTTGTTCCATGTTTTAAAATCTACAAAGATAATTATTAAAATATTTTCATTTCTCTTATATACTATATTCATTTATATTTTACTAAATCATACAGTTTACTAGAAACTTTAATAGTAAAGTGTTATATAATTTTTTCAAAAATATGTTCTTTTCAATATTTAATTTTATCTATAGAATTTATGAAAAATATGTAACATATTAAAATATATTTTTATTAAGCACAACACTTAATTGTTGGGACTTAGAATAAAACATATATCATGAATAGAAATAAATATAATCAATATGCAAAGCACTGAATGGACAAAACTTATAAAACATAAAATACAATCATATGTTTATCCAAAGCTGCAATTCTTGTCAGTATTTACATATATCTTTAAAAACATTTAATTTCTAATTACTAGAATAAGAAAAAAAATTGTTAAAAGCAAACGATATAATATTAATTGGATATTTTAAAATCTTGAAAGTAACATGCAAAATAAAAGATTGAAAAGTTGCAATTCTAACTATAATTACAATTGATACAAAAAATCATTTCTGTCAAATGAATTTCAGAAACGAAAATCAGAACTGTAATTCGAGGATGTCATTTATTGTAAATAAATTTATTGCACAATGATATATTTTAGTACGATTTGCATGTGTCGCATATAACGGAATAAGTGTTAACTTGTCACTGTATGCATTTCTCAATAAAACAAAGCATTACAAAAAATATGTTGCCCTGCGAGACAGAACAAAATCTCAGAACGTAACAGTTAGCAAGGATTCATCATTAAAAATTCGAACCTACCTTACAAAACGAAGATACAGAAGAATGTCTTTTGACAGGGAGATCAAGGGTCTTAGGAAAAATTGTCGATTCAGTGCATTCAGTCTGTTCACGTAACTAGATTGCAAGGTCTGTGATGACCTTTCAGCGGCCGTTGAATCTTCTACATTTAATTTTCAAATATAAATCCTCCTTACAACCGTCAAGCTGAACGCAAACAAAAAGACAGCTATATCTTTCGAAACTTACGAATTTCTGAACCCGGTCAATGTTGCAGTTCACCATTTTCGTCAACAGATGGTACTAAAAGCCAATTTCTTTTGTTCTTGATCTCACGCTTCATTTCATTCTTTATTTATTTTACATTTGAAACTTTTTTTTTGTAGCGCTTTTATTCATTTCTTCTTTTGTTTGACGTATTTTATATAATGTCATATGACTGTTAAACGATCGTTAATATTATAGAATATTTCTAACATTTCTAATATTACGAAATCGTACATGATAAAATATATATGTATATATGTGTATACACATTCACACATCAATACATCTTCAATTTTATCTGGCATTAACTTGTAAACTTACTTGTTAATAATATCAAATTTATTATATATTAATATTTTAATATGTAGTAACATTATATGTTTTACTTTACTCATCAATTACAAGCAAAAGTTAATAGAAAAATTTTATAATTTCACTTGTATTAGAAATACTTACCTATATATCAAATAAGATAAACTAAATAAGTATTTCGTTAAATCATGCAACTTTTTCCTTTACAAAATTTAAAATATACCATGTTAAAAACAAGGATTTCATAAAGATTCTGTAGCCAGAATAATGTAATATTATATTATGATGAATGTTTAATGTTATATATTAAACATTCATCATAAATTTATAAACTATTCATAACTTAGTATATTGTACATTGTTATGCAATCATTTTTATTAATGTTGCTATTAATCGATTAATTTAATGTTAGTTATGTGAATTCTAATAATTACACTGCATGGTTTATACATAAAATTAAACCATGTTATATATGTGTGTGTGTGTATGTGCGTGTGCGTGTATTTACACATTTCTTCATATATATTTATATTATTTACCTATAACAAACACAAAATGCATACAATTATAGTTCTAGCAATAGAATAAGCTGGAAAAATTTCGTGTAATAACAATTGACATATTGCAATTAAATATTGATTTAGAGTCCGATATGTTACAGATTATCTAGAATTAAATTTTTATACAATGAATATTTTGAATACATAATTTCTTTTGATCATAACTAAATGCAACAATAAATTTTGCACACATTTTGTTCGCTAGTTTATTATAATAAGATTATAAATCAAATGAATATTATGTATTACATTTATCAATGTTTTATGCATGTCATTAAATCATAAATTGTAGGTATGAAATAATGAACTGTTTTAGTAGATTATGAATGAAAAAATTTATATTAAGTGTAACAATTATTCATCTATTATTAGGAATACTATAGGTATCAATGATACATTTATAATCTGTGGTAATACTTATATAAAATAATAGAAAATTACTTCAACCTATGAGATACATATAAAAAAGTACAGTAACATCTTTTTGCGTTGAAATATGTAATATATATAACATGAAATAAGTTAACACATTACTTCTGATTCCAAATTAATTGCTAATTCTTATGTGATTAGCACCAGCATAAACGTGTAAAGTGCACATGTTTTATATTGTATAAG